TCTTTGATAAGCAACTGTGCTATGTCATGTCAGGGGGTCAGGGACATGCAGCAACCACCACACAGCAGCTGCTAATTCATCAGGTTTGACTTGTACCAAGTTATTCACTGTAGACCTCTTGTATGCGATTTGGAGGGAACTTCAAGCATCTGTCATTCATAGATCATAGATCGCAGGTCTGTTACTCGTAGATCATCTATCAAAGGGTTGCGCAAGGAAGTTGTGAATACTCCATCCCTGGGGTGTTCAAGGCCAGGTTGGACAGAGCCTTGAGTGACATGGTTTAGTGGGAGGTGTCCCTGCCCATGGCAGGGGGGATGGAACTAAATGTTCTTAAGGTCCTTTCCAGCCCTAACTGTTCTATGATTCTATCATTCATAGCGCAGGTTGCACAGAGAAGCTGTGGCTGCCCCATCCCTGGCAGTGTTCAATGCCGAGTTGGACGGGGCTTGGAGCAGCCTGGTCTCATGGAAGTTGTCGCTGCCTGTGGCAGGGGCTTGGAACTGGATGAGCTTCAAGGCCCCTTCCAACCCTAACCGTTCAATGACTCTATATGATTCTAGCAATATAAACGTTAAGAGCTCAAGTCAGAAAAAAACCCAACATCAAATGTGTCTAATAATTTCACAGTGCATAAATTATTTTATTACTTAATTCTTCATTTTTCCAGTTCTCCTATGTGGGTCACTATAGAAATTTTTTTTTCTTATGTATTCCCATTTATTTTCACTTACTGTCATAATGTGATTTAGATGTCAAAGTATTGTTCTGTGTCTTCTTGCCAAAAGAGATACTGAGAAGTTTTAAAATGGGTATGCTATATGTGTGGTAGGAAATAAAAATTATCATGATTTTGGGCATCAAAATTAGACCTGTTTATAGCAGTACACTTGTACTGTCACAATACCCACAGGCCAGCTGCGTTGTCATATTTTTATAAATCACTTTCATATTATTTAAGAAAATCCATTGGGTAATTCCATACAGTCTTGACATCTTTGTCATCGTGAATGTGGGTTAAACCATTTTAAATGTCTTGTTATTTCTCACAGCTCTTATGAATCCTTCTTAAAATTGAAAAATATTAAAAAGGAAACAGGAAGGATGTGTGTACTCATTTATTTTGAAAATGTGTTATCTCTTTATGATTCTGCAAGTGCAAATTTGTAGGAACTGAATGCTGAAAATTAAACTGTGCAAACTACAATGCTGTTTATTTCCTTTAATGACTTACTCTTGCTCAGTGTTTTATTTCATCTTATCAATGCTTCTGGTACTGCAAGTTAGTTATAAAATTGAAGTGTTGACTGTCCTAGAACTAGAATATCTATATTGAGAAATATTAACTGATGGTTTAAAGTTCACATAACATTTTGGGCTATGCAAACTGCTATATTTGACTTTGTATTAAATTTTTGTGGATGACTGTAGGGCTTTTAATGTTTGATGCGCTTAATTTAAAAATACGTCAGTATTTTGAGTAATGTATGGTTTTGTTTTTTTTTTTCCCCTCACTAGAAAAAAGCTGAAGTCCTTTGCTGAAGTATGGAAGATAAATGATTCTCAGGAACTACAAAAATGGAAAAGTATGTGTAAACCTGAAGGTGAAAGAAAGGACAGTTTTTAAGCTTCACATCACGCTTGAAGACGGAAAATATTTGAGATGCAAAATGTAGGTCTGGAGACTATAAAAGATCCCATCAGGGTGTAGTTCTAAGTGCATTAATTTGACCTTTCTGCATTTTGAGAGATAAGAGATGCTGTGTCATGATATGATGCCCCACATCTGCTTCCTGATTGTATGCAATCTTCTCACTCCACATTCCTTCCCTGAAGTGTTTTCCACGCTCTCCCTTATTTGCAAAATGTTTACTGGCATTGGAATTAGTTTGTAATATTTTTAGGAAACATGAAAAATAATGTTGGCAAATTATTAGGTGGATCTTTTATAAATAAAATAATGTCTTTTAACTTTATTGTACTTCAGTTTATAAAGAGATACTCCTCTGCATTGCGAAAATGTAGCAGAGTTTTGACTGTGCTGTATAGTTCTGTGCAGTTGCTAAGAATAAATACGATAAACTTTTTTTGTGTTCTAGTATTAACAAATTAAAAAATTCACAGTTCTGTAGAGCATCCGGAACTCTTACATGTGCAGTGAATTTAAGAAAGCATGTGGTGTTTTGCTGTATTAGAAGAGGCTTTTTTCTACTGATGTGATTGATGATGATGCAACTAATAGTTTTGAGAGCAAAAGCACAAAGCATGCACTCGTCTCTGTTTTATTTTCCTTCTTCTTCACTCATATGCATGCCTGCTTCCTTTTCAGCTTTAGCTTTCCTGCTGATCTTGGGCCCTCTCTGGCACAGTCTGATGAAAGACTTCCTGTAAATAATGTTGGAGTAACATAAGATGAGGTGAAAGAAGCAGTTCAAACTATGCAACTAGCATCCTCAGTGCTTTGTCAAATGCAGAGTAAAGCTGGGAAAAAAAGAGAAATGTATTTTACTCGTTTTTATTTGTAGCTACTAAGTCCAAATTTCCAATGGGAGTATGATACCCAGTTTAGTTTTCTTTTATAAATACAGCCAGGTGAAATATCTTACTGTGAGAAAGAACAATGATGTTGACATGCTTAAACTTTGGCAAAAGTTTGTTGTATTTAAAAGATATATTTTATTAAGTTGTGTATTGGGTTTGTATGGCAAGGTTTTGGTAGTGGGGGGAGAAGGGGCTGCAGGGGTGGCTTCTATGAGAAGCTGCCGGAAGCTTCCCCCCTATTCAGTGGAGCCAGTGCAGCTGGATCAAAGATGGATCCGCAGCTGGTCAAGGCTGAGCCCATGAGCAACGTTAGCAATGCCACTGGATAACAAATTTAAGAAGGAGGAAAAGTTACTGCAGAGGAGCAACTGCCGCCTGAGGAAGGAATGAGAATATGTAAGAGGAACAGCCCTGCAGACCCCAAGGTCAGTGCAGAAGGCAGGGAGGAGGTGCTTACTGGAACAGAGGTTCTCCTGTAGCTCATGGTGCAGACCGTGGGGAGGCAGGATGTCCCCCTGCAGCTCATGGAGATCTATGGTCATGCAGATATCCAACTGTACCCCGTGAAGGTCAACAGTGGAACAGATGCCCACCTGCAGCCCATATTGGTCCATGGTCGTGAAGATACCCACCTGCATCCCATGGAGGTCTATGGTGGAGCAGATACCTGCCTGCAGCCTGTGGAGGTCTGTAATGGAGCAGATATCTCCCTGCAACCCATGGAAGACCCCATGCTGGAGCAGGGGGATGCCTGTGTCCCTGTGGGAAACTTGCACCGGAGCAGGCTCCTGACAGGACCTGTGGCCCCATGGAGAGAAGACCCCACAAGGAAGCAGGGGAGGAGTGTGAGGAGCTCTGCCCTGAGCAGGAAGGACCAGCAGTGACAATGTGTGATGAACTGACCACAACCCCCATTCCCCGTCCCCCTTGCTGCTAGGAGGGAGGAGGTCGAGAATTTGAGAGTGAATTTGAGACCATGAAGAAGGGAGAGGTAGGGAGAAGGTGTATTAAGGTTTGGGTTTATTTCTTATTATCCTACTATGATTTGAGTGATGGAGCGGCTTTGGTGTGCACCTGCCATCCAGCCAGGATTGACCCACCACGAGTGGGAAGAAGTAAAGTATCATCTTGATTTTGCTATAAGGAAAAGAGTAAACTAAGGTTTTGTAATCATTAAGACAACTGAACCTTTATATTTTTTCCAGTAAATGAAGGATTTTTTTGCAAAATAATGCATCTGGTGAATATGAAATAATCTCACTGCAGGTGATTGAATTAGTCTTTCCAATACAGAGAACTTTGTGCAGAAAAGGATGTTTTTTTACCTACTGTAAACAATTACCAACCTTCACCAAAGACTTTTTTGTCCAGGTTCTTCAAATGACAAAGTAGCATTTAAATATTTTGTCTGCTACTCAAATGGCAACAATCAATACAAGCATCTCCTTCTGGATCTGCAGTATTTAAACTGGAAAAGCTGAAGAAGAAAACTAGTCTTTCAAGGTTACAGTGCACATGTGTGTTTTCTGTGCCACACACTGTGAAGCATAATGAATGTAATTCTCTATCATTAATGCACATGGACACAGTGCATTGGAGCTAAAGACCTCTGACCATAGTCTTCAAAGAGAATAAATGAGCCATTGCTAAATTCCCACATGTGCTAAATGCGCTTTTAGTAAGACTCTCTTTGCTCTCAAAGGAGCATTCAAACAAGAAAAAAAACACCTGGATGGAGTCTGAAAAAAAAATGAAGAAATACAATTAAGATTGGGGAAATGGACACAGTGTTACTGGCCTGCTCATGCTATCAAATATGAAGCAATTACAGCAGTTCTCTTAATGTCTGTGATCATATTGGAAAATAACTTATTTTAGCCCTGCTCAGTTCCACAACAGAGATTATCTTGCTATCCCACCAATAAGGTTTCTTGTAGATGTGTCAGCTAATTATAAAAGCTACTGCATTTGAGAATACACTATAATGAGATGCGTGCTATTATTAGGTGTGTTTAGTGCCAGTTTTAAGGTACCTTCATAATGAAACACACTGTACAGTTCAAGGTTATCTAGATCTTGTTCTGCAGATGTGGAGCACCAACAGTTATTAGCAGAGCTCTGGGATGGGATGTGATGAGTTCAGAGCTCACTTGGGTACCTTTGTGGAGAATGAGGTCAGGCATAGTCTAGACAGGCCACCAGACAGACATTGCTTTGCCTTTGGTAACAAGCAGGGTTGAAAGGAACAAAGACTTGCAGAAAACGAGGGAAATGCATTAATTTTGCAGTATTTTTTTTTTCCATTTCTTTTGCTGTGGTAAGCTGGGACTCTTGCGTCTGTCATAGTAGGAGTCCTAAGGGACAGAAGGATGGGAAGCTGCTCTTGAGTTTACCTTCTGTTGGATTTTGGGTTGTTGTGGTTTTTTTTATTTTTTATTTTTATTTTTTTTTAGTTTGGGGTTTTTGGTTTTTTTCCTAAATTCACACTAAGCTTCAACTTACAGACATTTGCAGTACAGTTTTGACAGTGGCATTATCAATAGGTGTGCCCTATTTTAAGACAGAGTATTGTCTGTGTGCTGGGACAGCAAGTTTGATTGTTGTCCTGGGTTCAGCAGTAGCAGTCATGTTTCTCCTCCTTGGTAGCTGGTGCAGTGCTGTGTTTTGACTTTCGGCTCGGGAACAGAGCTGATAACAATGATGTTTTGGTTTGGCCAAGGACTTTGTGAGCCTCATGCTCTGCCAGGGAGGAGGGGAAGTTGTGAGGAAGCAGAGACAGGACACCTGACCCAAACTGACCAAAGAGCTATTCCATACCACAGCACGTCATGCCCAGGATGTAACTGGGAGTTAGCCGGAAGGGCTGGGAGACTGCAGGGTTGGAGGAGGTATCGGTCGGAGCTTGGTCGGGCTTGGGGGCCGAGTTATCGGTCAGCTGGTGCTGAGGTGTTGTATTCTCTTCCCTTGTTATTTCCTTTATCATTATTATCATTGGTGGTAGCAGTAGTGATTTGTGTTATACCTTAGTTACTAAACTGTTCTTATCTCAACCCGTGGGAGTTGCATTCTTTTGATTCTCCTCTCCGTCCCTCCAAGAGCAGGGGGAGGGCAAGAAAGGGGGGGAAGTGAGCGAACGAATTACCTGACTGGGTTTAAACCACGACAATTGTGTACTGACAGCTGTAAGGTTGAGGAGGAGTGACCCTTACCTAGACAGTCCTTGGTTGTAGTGGGAGTTCCTGCTAAGTCTTGAGATGGCCTTCAGGAAAGGAATGTCTAAATGTTTTTGAAACCTGCATAGCGTATTGGCTCCTTCTGCTTGTGCCAACATGTTACTGACATCATTAAAATTTAATATTGATGTGAAAAATACAGCTTTGTACTGTACATAAAGGTGCAGTCTCTTTGATAACTCTTTTTGCCTTTTATGGCATTTATCCAGTTTTGTAAAGTTGGTATTTATCACGTTCTTAACCTCTTTCACTCTTCTCTTTTCCCTGCTCTTAACATAAAAAATTGAATGCCTTTGTGCATCTTGAATGTACTGCCATGTAGAAATCACAGTGCCACAGGCTAGCCACAAAAACTGGTAGACCATTTGAATAGGAGAGAGAGAGCTGGACGTGTTGTCACTGCCTTTTTTATTTGGTTATAGAAGAACATTATTATACAATATCCAAAGTAAAGCACATTACCAGTTACCTTTCTTACTGGCATATGGCACCCTTCACTGAAGTAATTCTCAAGAGGACTTTTCTTTGTATTGCAGAGTTTTCCAGAAGTATTTATAGAAATAACACGAATTTATCTACCACGTAAGTTTACAACACACGTAAATTAATTCAAGTATCACTGGAATGTCAGCTGAGTCAGATGTTGCAATAAGTCTGTGTCCTGGGTTCAGCAGTAACAGTCATTTTTCTCCTTCTTAGTAGCTGGTACAGTGCTGTGTTTTTGACTTTTAGCCTGGGAACAGTGGTGATAACACTGGTGTTTTTAGTTGCTGTTCAGTAATGTTTAGTCTGACCAAGGACTTTCTGAGTCTCATGCTCTGCCAGGGAGGAGGGGAAGTCAGGAGGAAGCAGAAACAGGACACCTGAGCCAAACTAGCCAAAGGGGTATTCCATACCACAGGATGTCATGCCCAGCATATAAACTGGGGGCAGTTACCCAGAAGGGTTAGATCACTGCTCGGGTCAGGCTGGGTATCGTTTGGCGGGTGGTGAGCAGTTGTAATGTTTTCCCTTGTTATTTCTCTTATTATTGGTGGTAGCAGCAGTGGTTTGTGTTGTACCTTAGTTACTGGGCTGTTCTTATTTCAACCCATGGGAGTTACATTCTTTTGATTCTCCTCCCCATCCCTCCGAGAGCCAGGGGTGGGGAGGGCAGGGGAGGAGTGAGCAAGCGACTGCCAACTGGGCTTAAACCACAACAGTCCGTTCACTGCTTGAAAATAAAAAAGTAATGAAAGTAATGTTTGCTTATTGAAGTCTAGTGAAAAGTAAATTACCCAAATATTTCTATTATATGCAAAATTTAGTAAGAACTTAATTCAGTTATTTTAACTTCTTAGTTCCGATGTAAATGTGTGTTTCATAGGGAGGTAAAGGCTTGGTAGATTACATCTCTGTTCCAGATTCTGGATCACACTTCAGAATGCCTGTTGGGGGGGCCTCCCTCCCTAGTCTCACCCCAGGATGTCGCAGTCCAAGTACTGGGCTAAAAGAATCTTTTTAAAGTAAGCCTGAACTGTCTCATTCCCCCTTACAGATTTTGGAGTATATGAATGGAGTGAATGGTTCTCATTACCTTTCACTTATTCCTAAACACAAAGGCCACAGCAAGCTGAAATTCACCATCTCGGCATACTTTTCCCAGCTGTTTTCCATGCTTTCCTTCATTTCCTTGCAAAATCTCTGGCAATCAAATCCCAGAACAAATACTGGTTAAATCGTTCAGTTTTGGATGACAAATTTACAGTCTGCTGATCAGAATTGCTAGTTTTTTTTAGAAAGCTTATGGCCAGATCCAAGGAAGGTATTTGCAGCTGAACAAGGATTAATTCAGGACTGAAAATACAGTAGGTAAACCTGGATTTAGTCCCAAGACCACTTATTTGGGTCTTTGACCTGCATCAGTCCAGCACTGTTGACTGTTCTTCTCTGGCTCTGTATAGGGGAACCTGTGAATTTGCCCAGTGTGGTAGCTTACTAAAAATACTGGAATACTCTCGAAATTATAGAGTTCTGCTTACCTTAAGGATGCTACGACTGTCGTTGTACATGGCTACATACCTTTGGTGTGGAAATCCTCTGCTTGCTTGAAATGGTACAGCAGTTTCTTCTTCCTCAGCTACAAATGCACAGTTTCATTGAATTCCTTAATTACATTATAGATTTTTCTCCCTGCCTAGCTATAGAGAAAGTAGAAAGCAAAGGATGTTTCCTTAATTTCTTAAAAATCATAAAAAAATAATTCTGAAACAAGTCGTCTTAAGATGTGACTCCTTGCAGGCCATGCTGCTAACTGAAATGGTGTTCTTGTCTGAGACTAAACTGGTTTATGTCATAAGAGAGTTGTAGAGAAAAGCAGGACAGTGCCTAAGATACTAATCAGGGGAAATAAAAGGTAAACAAGATAAAGCCAGATAATAGAAATCTAAGAAGAATTTCTAGCTCTTAGAATGTTTGCTTATAAATGAAAGTATTTTTTCAAGTGTTATAAAATAATGTGACTTTTATATAAAATACTGTTAGCTGCATCTAGTGATAAACATGAAAAATAATTTCTGATTTTACTGGAATGTTTAAGCAGTCAGTTTTTATGACTTTAAAATATGCTGTAAGAAAAAGGGTGATTCCTGGGGAAGAAGGAATTGGAAAACACAATACATAGCAAATTTTAAATACGCTATCTGCAATAAGGAAGTAGAAATCACTGTTGCTTTTTATTTACAATAATCCAAATATCTAGGATGACTTAAAATTCAGTGTGTCCTGAATACCAGGGAGATTACCAGATATAATTATCTCAGTCTTATGTAACACAAAATAAAAAGTTTCGGTCAAGTACTGAGCTTTTCCTTCTGCCTACATATTGAAATATTCGTCTTTGCATAGTCCTCTCTGCATAAAGAGTTAGAAATTGATGGTCATAGAATAATAGCATCACAGAATGGTTTGGGTTGGAAGGGACCTTAAAGCTCATGCAGTTCCAATCCCCTGCCATGGGCAGGGACACCTTCCACTAGACCAGGTTGGTCCAAGCCCTATTCAACCTGGCCTAGGACACTGCCAGAAATGGAGCATCCAAGAGTGTCATGGTTTAACCCCAGCCAGTAACTCAGAATCATGCAGCTGCTCGCTCACTCCCCTCCTTCTTCCTCCCCTCCCTCCCCCACCTCGACTCCCATCACCTTAAGAGTGTTTTGGAGTATCTCATGTATTGTATGAGTACATATTTTTTCCTTCTTCAGAAGGGAGGAAAATAATACGCCATGAGGCATGTATCACTGAACTTAAGAGTGCAGGACCTCCTTTTGCTGGAAGGTTTGTCAGGGTGGTGAGCTGGTGATTGTTTTCACATGGCTGTGCAGGACCATTTACATCAACCTCCACAGAGCCTTGGTCCTTTGGTTGGACCATGTTCCTCATGGAAGTTTGAGGGGGATGCTGTCCCTACCTGGACATCAGAGAACCCCTGCAGAGAGACCACGGTTGTGCTCTTGGTGCACTGGGTTGTTTAATCAGCAGAGGTTCCTGCTGACTGGGAGGGAGAAGGGAAGGGTCTGTTCTGTGGTTAGACTAGAGCTGATCCCACGGGGAACAAAAACTGCAGATAGGATGCACAGGGAAAATGTTTGTTTTGCAGTGTGGAAACTAAAGACCATTCCTTAGATCTCTGCTTGAATGTGTGAACTCAGGCAGCATGTCAGCCTCCCCTGTACACCTGTAACATCTCTCACAGTCACTGGAAATGCAAGGGTTGCAGTGAGAGCAGTCAAAGAGAGGAGGGGGGTATGCTGAAAGAGAAAGCCTTGAAACAGCTTCTTCGTCTTGGTTTAAGTCAGGCTACCCAAAAAGTGATCACCAAGACCTGTAATTCAGACTTTTTTTTCCAAAACTGATCTCAAATAATATTTAGTAATGTCAAGTTCACAACAACAAGGTACACTGAGCTGTCTTTTCTGTGCAGACCAAGAATATTCCCAGCTATTCATCTGTCACCTTGTGAGTAGCACTGTCCAGTGAGACCGCCCCCTTCCCAGCTGGTTGGTATCTGTGGTGTTTGTATTCTCGTTGGTTATGTTTTGTGCGCACTTTCAGTTAATCTCATTTTGTTGTGACTCACTGTGAAAGTATTTCTATGTAAAGCGAAATACTGTGCTCTGCAGTGCTTAAGCAAGAACTGTACTAATGCAATAAGTAGCTATATTAAATGAGCTGATCACAGGATGATAGAGTCACAGAGTGGTTTGGGTTGGAAAGGATCTTAAGATCATCTAGTTCCAGCCCCTCTGCCAAAGGCAGGGCCACCTTCCACTAGAATAAGTTGCTCAAAGCCCCATCCAGAGTCTGGCCTTAAACACTGCCAGGGATGTGGTAATCTATTCTTAATTATTCCTATTCCTAATAGCTTCCACACAGGAAAAGAAAACTCTGCTAATCCTCTAATTAAATTTGCAAACTAAAGCTGTCCAAGCCTTTGGCACTTTTTTTTTTGAGAAGCAATTACGTTGTAGGTGTAAGCTCACACCCATGGCTGATGTCTGACATTTAGTTTGACACTGCGTTATGTCCAACAAGCCAGCAAGGCTAAGAAGGTGCAGCTTTCCTTCACCCTCTGTCCCCAGGAGCAGGAAAAACATCTCCATGCATTTCCCAAGTGATGTGCAGCACACAAACGCGTGTGCAGCTGTGTACATGGCACTTGGGGTTTTATCCGTTCCCACAGTTTCATATAGGGATGTCCCTTTGGATCTCTCCAAGGCACCTTTCCATCCTAACATCCTCTCTATCATCACTTCCCACCTGGCTTAGAATATAGCTTTACTCCCCTATTTAATAGTTTGAAGTGGCCTCATAGTCTGTTTCTCACATCCTCTGGTTGTTTCTTACCTGGTATGTGCTACAGCTATCTCATCTATCAAAGCCCATAATTTTGCTTCCTCCTAATGAAGATGGAGTATGTTCAACAAAAAAGAAAAGAAGACCTTGATCCTAAATTTAAATCTTATACACAGCGCCTTGCAACTAAATCATTCTCCCTCTAGGAACCAACTGCAGGCATTTCAGTGGAGTGCCTGGATTTTATATTCCACAGCGTTCTGGATTTTATATTCCCAATGCTTTAACATAAAAATATTTCATTATATTCCTTCATTGTGCTGTTCTTTAGGCCACAGTGTTCTGCAGCCTCTCTCCTCTCTTCCAGTTTCTGTAAAGACCTGTTCACATGCCTCGTAGTCAGATGCAGGATTGGCAAGACCCTGCATCATACAATAAGCAAGCTGTTTGGCTGCAATGATTTCTT